TCACGCTAAGATGCTGACAACCCCCTTGGCGCAAGCCAGGGGGCGGTGTTTAGTGATCTTGGCGACCTCATTAGTGAGGCCCACTCCTTATAGCCTAAGGGAGTATACGTTTCCTCTTTCTTCCAATGTGAGACAAATCCCATAGAGAAAGTTTTCCATTAATAAAGTTTCAACACATCTATGGCCATCACTTTTTCATACTAAGATCATCCCCAACCCACTTCCATCCCCCCCCCCCCCCCCCCTCCCTTCCAAAATAAAAATAAAACACATCATTTCTACTAATTTGATTTTAACAAATATATAATGTGTATTTTTTCATTACAATAATATTATACATATATTTATATAAATATTACACATGCACACTTTTAATATATATTTTAATTATAATCTTTTATAAAATACGTTTTCATATTTTAAAACTTAATATGTATTTAAATCTTTATATGAATTTGATACACAAAAAACAAACTTTATATTTATAATTAGTAAATTCAAAATATAACAAAATATTGTAAATATTAAATGTTACATCTATATAATTAGTAGATAAAAATAAAAATGTATAAATATATAAAAAAAATGAACTAAAACCTACAACTTAAAATTCAACCACATAGGAAATATGAAATAATATTACACCAAGAAAAAATATGAAAAATAGAAATGGATTGAAAAACATAAACAATATCACAAGCACAAAACATAGCTTTCTTGTTAAGGTGAGTTCAAAGCAAAACGCATGGGTAATAATTGTGATAAAACCCACAGTCCAATAACTAGAATCACCAATGTTCCATGGAAACAGCAATCAATCAGACAAATTGATGAATCTCAATAAACTTCAATAAAATTAGGGTTTTAGAATATCTTAAAATCAAAAACACCATAAGAACAGTAAACTTAAACACAACAAAAAGATCAGCACAATTATCCAAATAGATATACTGCAAAATGATTAGATTAATTATGGTGCTAAAATCAAAAAACTTTGTTAACATATTAACCTAAGGTAGCTTCATACAAACATCACAACTATTCTATGCCTTTTTGGGTGATTTGGAAGCTTTAGTCGATTTGGGAGATTTAGGAGTCTTCTCGGCGTCAACTGCAGATTTCTTAGGCAACAAAACTGGATTGATGTTTGGTAGAACACCTCCATTCGCGATGGTAACACCAGCAAGCAATTTTCCCAATTCTTCATCGTTCCTCACAGCCAATAGAACATGTCTAGGGTTAATTCTCGTCTTCTTGTTATCTCTTGCTGCATTTCCAGCCAACTCCAAAACCTATAATTCGATTTTGGGAATCAAATCAATTGTTGAATTCAACAAACATCGATAAAAGCACAAAACAAAATAATCACAGAAAACTTGAATACGAACCTCAGCAGCGAGGTATTCTAGAACGGCGGCGAGATAGATCGATGCACCGGAGCCGGTTCGTTTTGCGTATTGGCCTTTTTTCAAAAACCTGGAGATTCTACCCACCGGAAACTGGAGTCCGGCCTTAACCGACTTGGTCACCGATTTCTTCCGTTCACCGGCGCCTTTCCTTCCTCCGGCACCCTTAGTTGTTTTCCCAGACTCCATTATCTGACTTGAAATTTGTGTGGAGGGATTAGATTCGTTGGAGTAGATTGTGAATTTGAAAATTCGATGAATAAAACGGAGGGAGAAGAGGAGTATATATAATGCGCTGTTTGTTTGGTTGAATTTAAGGAGGGAGGATCTAAAATGATCCGACGCTTAACAAAGCATGCCACGCTGGCAATCCATAACAAAGTGCATTTTTGTGATTTTCATCGGACGATCAGAGATAAGACATTGTGGGCTAATTAACTGGGGCACGTTCTTATTAAACTTGGGTCAATTTTTTAGGTTTTAAAGCTAAGAGGACTGGTAGATGCCGTTTGTTTTTTTATAAAAACCTCTTCAAACCACATATTGCTGCGCGGCGCAGCATACGCGCAGCACTTTTCCTCTCGCAGCAGTTTGTTTTTTGGAAGACTTCAGACTACAAAACCTCTGCGCGTGTGCTGCGTGTCGCAGCACTTGACTTGCCTCTTCTAACCTCTTCAGCTTTCATTTTTTCCAAGTGTTTTTTTAAGAAATTTTGTATAACTTTTTTTTTAAACTTTTTTTTTAAACTTTGATTTTCTTAAATTTTTATTTACGAATGTGATACAATTTATTTTTATAGTTTCCACGATTTTTTTTAACTTGATTTTTTTAATTTTTTTTACCGTTTTATTAATAATATTTTCAATTTCAGTTACATCTTTTTTAACGTGTATAATTTTTTACGAACTTTGTAGATATCGTTTGCAATACTTTCTTAGTTTTTTTATTATTTTCTTTTTTAATGTTTTTTAAAATTAGTTTTTTTTCTAGAATAAAACTATTAGCTTCTTTTACATTTTTTTAAGTTTTTTTTTTAAAAAAAAGTTTTATATTTTTGTTTTTTTACATGTTCTTTTTATTATTATTTCAATGTTTTAAGACTAGAATTATTAAATTTCGGTGTTGAGAACTATTTTCAGTTTATAAAATTAGTTTATTTAAATTTCAGTTTACTGCAGCAGTCTGCAGATGTTAAAAAACAAACATGCTTCTTATTATAGGCTCCAGCCGTTTGTTCCATCTCTTCTGCTACAGAGGATTGCAGAGGTGTTCCGCAGACTTCATGAATTTTCGCTTCGAAAAAACAAACAGCACCTTAGCATCTTCTCACATTATATTTTGTCATCTCATTTTTAATAGTTTAACATCTAATTTTATCATTTGATATAAATAGATAAAGACCGGTAACATTCCTAGCACTTATTTTTAAATTTTTTTTTTTTTTTGCCTAATTTAATTAAATTATTTTATTTTAATATACAAACATTTTTTGTGCATAAATATTAAACATCTTTTATTTTTTTAAACCACAAATAATTAATATAATATAAATTATATTTTTAAAAACACAAACATTTCATATTAAATTAAAAAAGTTACAATAAATTAAAACTTAAAATACCTAAAAACATGATTTAATAATTCAAACCACGACAAACATGACTTAGCACCGACAAACACGACTTAATACCTAGAAACACGACTTAATACATAAAAAACACACTTCATAACTAAAACACACTTCATAAAAAAACACACTAAAGCAACGGGTCTTCCTTCGAATATTGGTCTTCTAATTTTGTAACACCCGGATCCGGTGCACTTTATCTTTAATATTGTGAGGTCAAGTTTCAATAATTGCCCTGCTCACGACGTGAAGAATGCCTTTTCACGTCATGAGGAGCGATTCAGACCCGTATATCATTTTAAGGCTCAAGACGTGAACAATATAGTGCTCACGACGTGAGGGCGGATGACGACCAAAAACCCTAAGTTTTCGGTATTTAAGGGAATGAGAGGGCTAAGGTTTCTCACCCTCGGCATCTCTCACTATCTAAACCTCCAGAAACCCTAATCTTACTCCTTCCTAATATCCTTTTGTCATCCGGGTGCATTTCTAGCTTGAAGAAGAAGAAGGAAGTGCTCTGGTGGTGGTATGGGCAAATAATCAACATCATCATCGTCTTTTCCTGTTTTTGGACCCTTGTAAGTATCAAAGGCTCCACCTTTATTGCTTATCATGGATAGATCTTGAGTTTTGTCCATCTTATTGATGTTATTGCATGTTTGAGTGGAGTAAATCCATAAAGCTGGCAACTTTGTGGATTCTAAGAGTCCCAAGAGCATTATAGTGTTCAGGAAGTTGGTATGAATTTGAGGCATGCATGAAAGTTTGAAGCTCATTTCTTTCCTTTTTTTACCAAGAAATGGATGATCATGTTTGGTGTATGCATGACCATAAAGGAAACAATTGTATTGAGATTTTATGGTTTATGGAAAGTGTTTCTGACTATTTAAAAATGAAAAAAAAATCTTTTGAAAATCGGGTCGTTACATTGCTCTATACGGTCACATCAAGGTTTTAACAATGAGCCTGTCCATAAACCTAACATTTTTTACGATAAATTATTGATTGACATTTAAAAGAATTGTCCTAGCACAACTAATATGAAAATGTACATAGGAAAATAAAAGGATAAATATATTCAAGATTCTTTTAGATAATTGTTTACTTGTCATCATTTTACGAGAAACGCAATCTTCTTCAAACATAAACATAAACCAAGTGTATGTGGTATTATGAACGTCTTTTGTTGTTTATCAAGTATTATTTTTCATTTGTTTACAATAAAAAAGCATTTTCATGATTGAATACATATACATACATATAAATAATATATAGGAAAATATTTGTACCATAAACAATGATCGAGAAAGATGATTTTGGGCGAGTCTTAATTAGCTTGAATCTTCCTGAAAAACATCAACAAAAAGAGACAAAAAAGCAAAAAAATACCATATTTATAACAGAATAAATAAGATATTTATTGATACATGCCTACTTGATAAGTGCTCTCTGAGAATGTCATTAGACATGAACTCATAAACTAAAATTTTGCAATGCAATCATGGGCCAAAATCAATGATATATGTATTGTGTGTGTATGACAAAAGAACTAAAAGGTAATTTACAGGCTTGGCTTATTCATTGCATAATCCAAGCAAATAAACCAAATTTGCAATGCCAAAATCCAATGCTATAAACTAAAATTTTGCAATGCAATCATTGGCCTATGATCTACATCACAACCTCAATTCAACACAAAAACTCTCAATTTAGTAGGGAGATAGTTGTCATTAGAACCTTTAGATGCTCCCTATAGCCTGGAAAAAGCACATTTGTAGAATTGGCTTATGGAAAGCCAGAACATCAGTAGTCTTTCGGAAAAGGCAACATAATCACTCGATCCATTATCATCAAGTGAATGAGAGACTACAAATTATTTCCTAGCCCTTATTTGCTACTACACCCACTAATCAAATTACTTATTAAACAAAACCAATTAAAACCGAGAGCAGAAGAAAACCTAATAATTACCCATAACAAGCATTTCTTGCATATAGCCCTAAAACGGGAACTTGAATAGCCAAACACAAACCTTTTAAATATGTGCAGGTTCCAATGCCATCACCATCCTTTCTACCTTTTGTTTGGCCTTTTGCACTACCATCCTCACTGCCACTTGCATGATTTGCTTTTCTTTTTGGATCGTTTCCAATTTCACTTTGCCTGGTGATAGAATTTAGCTAAAATCAACAAAACATTCTCCAAGTCAATCAATCTGCCAAAAAAATAATAATACTCAAAAGAAGGTTAAAATCATAAAAACAGTAAAATTTTCTCATAAATTGCCAAAAAAAAAACATTTTCACCGTCTGTAGAGGATCAATAAACGAATACGACATCAACAAAGAAAATTACAAAATATAGTTAGGGCATACAAATAAACTTGTGTTTATTGTCGTTTATGACTTTATAGAAACACCTAAGAACCAAAAAAGGGTAATCATATACATCCCATCACACACCTATATTAGAAAATAAAATCAACAAAACAACTTGAAAACACTAACTTTGAAAAAAAAATCCAAACTTCCTCAATACGAATAAGGATTGTTGAGAGGCCTTTAAATTCTTGTACCTTATTTGTTTCCAAACCAACCTGAACATGGTTATTGGATGATTTCATCTTGTTATCAACTAGTGAGTATCCAGACTTGCACATGATTCACTAAATTTATAACCAAATAAATATCTCTTAAAATAATCATTCTAGTAATTTTGTACAAATATAATAACTATCAAATGCTTTAACTATCATAAACTTACAACAAAAAGAACAAATGCATCAAGAAAATCAAACATTGAAGTACATGTAAATAAAAAATTAAATAAATAAATACTGTTAGCATATATTCATATTGTATTTTCTTTATGAGAAGGGTTAATGTTGCAAAATCTGTTTGGAGAAAAAAATTGAATCGATACATCCAAAAACATATAGAATCAATAAAATGGAAAACAATTTTGGAGAATAAATTAGCTTTCTTACCTGGTAAATCTGCAAGAAGGAAACATAAACATGTTTTAAAGTAGTTCGATGTATATTTACAATCAAAGAGCATTCCTTCGTGTAATTGTGGTCAACTTATCCATCAATCACATACACTAAACCTAAGCACAAAAATTAAAACGTGGACATAGATTCAAATAAACCCATAATTAAAAAAAAAACATTGAAAAATTACGTTAACTGAATAATAAATCGATAAAATATGCTTGTGTGGCCTTCCTCGTTTCTATTAGACGATGGGTGAGCGTAGACAAAGAAATAAAGGGAGAGTGAAGGTGGCGAAATAAAGGGAGAGTGAAGGTGGCAGGTTTACCTGACAATGGGTGGATGAAGGCGGCCGGTTTAGCAGCAACGCATGAGTGGTGGTTGGTGGTGGCTATAGTATTTTGTGGTTAGGTTTTTAGAATACATATTTGGCTAGGAGATTGCAAGATAGTATGATAGGCATATAAAGTATGAGGGGTCGGATTTTGTGGTTAGGCTTCCAGATGAAAGAACCCAATTTTATGTTCTTCCGGTGGGGAAGAACATGATATTCTACAGATAAGGTGCTGAAATTAGGGTAATTGGAATTCAAATTTGAATATCATAAGGCGATTTTCTAGTGATTTAAAGGGGCTAGGTCAAATAGATAGAAGGCTCCGGCTCTCAAATCGTTTGTTGACCAAATAAGATTGCAATGCATAAAAGATTCGTACATACTGCAGTTTTACTTATACGATTTAAAATTCAACATTTGACTAAAAATACTTTATAAGGTATAATATATATAATAAGTAAACATGTATAAATACAACACAAATAATAACACGACCGACCAGGGGAGGCCCCCACAACAAGAGTTAGATGAGACACGATTCATCTACATACTGATAGATTTTCATCTAGCTCCCGGCCTATAATCGTTAAATCTTAAGTGAGGGGGAGAGATATGTATAAATCTATACGAGATTGACACGCCCACATGTGGTTGCTAGCTACAACCTGACGACAAGTTGAACCAAACATAACTTTCTAAACACATTTGTGACGTCCGATGAAACGTCGTTGTTTTCGTGATCAACAGTCATAGCTTGATTATAGGAACTCACCGTAACTTTGTTAAATTAAAACTAACTATCTTAGATTACTACTAGGAACCAACCTAAGAAAATAGTGATAGTACACACAAACTTGAGCAAGCAAGCTTAGGATAAACAAGATAAACTAAACCCACACAAAACTTTAAAATCATAAACATGTGGAACCACTAACATTATGTTGACCTCTCAAACCACATGTATTTTCATAAGAATGAACCCGTCCGAAGGAGGAGATAACCCCAGTGATGCAGCCCGAAGTCTATGTGCTTTACTTTTGTACTCTGCTTTCGTAACATACTTATACATTGAACAATTGTGTAATATATTTTATTTAATGAATAAATAACAATGTTGATTAATAGGGATAATGACTCTTTAGGATAACTAACTGTTGCGTTTGTTTTCATTTGGTCCCTTTCCTTTTTTTGTACTCAATATACCATCAAACTTGTTGTTTGTGTTCACCATAACCCATTTGACCGACTTTTGACCTGTGATAGCTGCTCAAAGGGTTATGGTGAACACAAACAACAAGTTCGATGATATATTGAGTATAAAAAAAGCAAAGGGACCAAATGAGAACAAACTCAATAGTTGGTTACCCTCTTGAGTCATTTTCCCCGAAAAGTTAAATGAAATTAAAGTTGCAAAATTATTAAAGACTACAACCTTCTTTGGCCATAACGTATATGAAAAGCGTTTCGAAGGGGTAACTTCGTTAAAACATGGTCTATGCTATTCTTACTGTGGTTAACTGTCAACACCTCTCTGCAAAAAGATATGACTGTATATGAGTGGTATATTTATCAACATAAACGTTTACCACAAGGTATATTATGGTGATGTGTCTGCAAAAGCTGCATGATATTGTACATATTGATGTTGTATCTTATCCCATGAATTCGATCTTAAAACTAAGTAAACTAAAAAATCACAACACTTGTGATTCCACTCGTTTGTAGACTTGTCTGGAATCCATGATACGATAAATCATTTGATTGGAAATGTAAATGTAGTCATGAAATGCATCTGCTTAGTCAAGATTTCCCTAATAAGTATTCAAGTGCATTACAAAGTTGTACATGTATGAATAATGTTATTTCGTGGGTTATGTTTTGAAGAGAATCAATAATGAATCTCATAAAGTCATTAATATCAGCAAGAGATGACATGGGATTTGCTGTAAATGAGTAAAGGGAAAATGAATCAGGAGGGTAACCAACTGTTGCATTTGTTCTCATTTGGTCGCTTTCCTTTTTTACGTACTCAATATACCATCGAACTTGTTGTTTGTGTTCACCATAACCCTTTGACCGACTATCACAGGTTAAAAGCCGATCAAAAGGGTTATGGTGAAGACAAACAACAAGTTCGATGATATATTGAGTACAAAAAAGGAAAAGGGACCAAATGAAAACAAACGCAACGGTTAGTTACCCTAAAGAGTCATTTTCCCTGATTAATATATCCAATGTATTACTCAATGTATATATTTGGCCTGAATCCCAACATCCTAATGTCACACAACCTGGCGCTTCCGCCGCCGACCAGGGTGTGGCACACTCGAGAAGTGGAAACACACTGATTTTCCTTACCCCTTGCAAATTAATTCACCCTACACGTTTCTATACCATCTTCATATTTGGTCCGTGTCTCTCAAGCTCTCCCCTTTGTCTTTCATCCCTCTTTCACCATGCCAACTAACACAATTCCCAAGAAAGATTACAAACACAATGTGGTTTTGTTTTTAGAATCTTATAATGAGAAACTGATACATCACACTAGGTTAATGACAAATATAAGAACTTTACTTCAATCCGACCAATAGAACAAATTGGAACAACTTGAGACGATGAAGGATAAACCACATTTTGAGATCATGAGATTGACAATAACAATTTTATATGAACAAAAGTCTATTGACAATGCTTTTATTGAGTCAATTGAATAGGTTTTATGATGTTTTGAAGAAGAAAAAAAAACATCTGGATATTTTTTTGTTTTTATTTTTAAATAATGTAATGTTTTAATATGTATTTAACTTCTTTCTTTACAAATAAATAAAATATGTTGTTTTATGTTAAAAAAAACTTCATAATTAGATATTTGTGTTTGCTATTTTAAAATTCAATATTCTTACGTCCGTGTTCAAATAGATCCATCCCCTAGTTGAACACATAACACACCATATCAACATTTTATGAAATAATGGAATTTCGTTAAGCATTGTCAAATACTCCAAATCGTAACCGCAATCTCAATAAACCTTCTCCCACACACCATTAGAAAATAATCTTAATATTATTGTTTTGTAAATTTATTATCCATTCGGCTAAATAAGATTTAAAGATATTAGAAGCAAAATAAAAAAAAACATTTATTTAGTTTCAACAAAGTTCTCGTAAATTTTATATATTTCATAAACAAGTTAAGTTTTTTTTTTAATTACAAAAAGATAAACAAATTTAGGAAACAAAAATGTTTCCATAAAATAGATCATTATTATTTTGTTATGATAAAAAATTAAAAATGATCATTTTACTAGAAACTAATAGAAACGAAAAGAACCAATTAACGGAATTCTATTTGGTTTAGGTTTAGGAAACGTATGACATAGAAACTTTGCGTGCACACTACGACCCCGGCGCATTTTAGCCTTTCCGTCTTCTCCCAAAACCTATTTCTATCGAACTCGAACAACAATTTCTCTTTCACCAAAGCCTTTTGCTCTCCAAATCTCCTGCAAAAATTCGAATCTCTTCACACTTTCTTATTCGGTAACACTGTTTTCCCTTCTTGATTTTTATGTAGTCAATCATTAATTTTGTTCTATGATCTTAAGGTGTGCGTAATCCTGGATTCTGAATCGAATCACTCCGATTTTAGCTATCAACTTTGATTTTGTGTGAAAAATCGATCACCAAATACGACCAACGATTTCCAATTTGAATTTGTGGATTGTGTTGCTCTAACTATTGATTTTGTTTTTTTCATTTAGGTTGCAGGATTCGTCTCGCCAGAAAAGAAATCATGGTATGTTCTTGTGTTCTTGTTGATTTCTTTTTGTGTTTACTACTCTATTTTCAAATTATTTCTGTAATTCTTCTTGTGTTTACTACTTTATTGTGTTTTTTGTTTCTGATTTTGTCGAATGGAGATTGTATTATCAATCACTAATGTAAGTTCATTACATAAATTCATGCAGTATTTTGATTATGGGTATCATGGGACATCCTTTGAGCAGACTTATCGCTGTTACCCTGCATCTTTCATTGACAAGGTTAGGAAGCTTTATTAATGATTATTGGTTTTCTTTTTTACTTACTTAATTTAATAAACTATATATATCAAATGTTTCTTTTTTGTTTCTGATTTTTAACCCTTTTTATCTTTTTCTTATTGCAGGCTCACATAGAGAATGGTGACAAAAGTGAGTGAGTTCTTTTTGTATTTTAATATTTGTTTATTTTGCCTTTTAGTGAAAATACTAATATTTTTATTGTTTCTTTTCCAGTTATAATGCCTCCTTCTGCTCTTGATCGCCTTGGTTAGTTTATAAATATTAGATTT